GGACGTCTTGGGCGCCTCCTGGGCCGTCTGGGTGGGGGCCTGGCCACTAGATGCCGGCCACCTGGCCTACCCTCTCCCCTGGACCCATCCCCAGAGGGCTTCGCCCCACCAGAACGTCATCACTCGTACCTCGCTCTTTTCGTTACCTGGGCGGGCACGGGAGTGGAAAGAGCGTTTCAGGAATTCGCCCGAGAAGGCTCATGGCATCTTTCGCTCTTGGGGGCCTTGCTGTTAAGAGCTTTTTCACGTCACCGATCGCTCTTCGGAGCCGTGGTGTGAAGCGTTGTGTACGTATCCGTTCGCTCTTGGGAGCCTTGGCTTTAAGAGCTGTTCACGTCATCGTTCGCTCTGGAGAGCCTTTGCGTAAGAGCTCGTTACGTCACCGTTCGCTCTTGGGAGACTTGGCGTGAGGAGTTGTGCACGTCACCGCTCACTCTTGGGAGCCTTGGAATTAAGAGCCGTTTTCGTAACCGTTTGCTCTTGGGAGCCTTGGCGTCAAGAGCTGTTTACGTCACTGTTCGCTCTTGGGAGCCTGGGCATTCGGAACCTTCTGGCCCACTGCTCGCTCTTGGGATCCTTGGCGCTCAAGAATGCTTATGTCACCGACTCGTGTGCAACTGGCTTTCCAGTCACATGGTACTCTTTGAGGCCGTGGCGTCAAAGCTGCGTCCGTTATTGGGCCGTCCGGGGGGGTCTCCTCTGGGGGCTCTTTTGGGTGTCTTGCCTCCTATGGCACTCTGGGGCTTTCCTGGGAGCCTCTTGGGACCCTCTTTGGTTCCTCTTGGGGCTCTCTGTGGCCGTCCTGGGTGCCTCTTGGGCCGTCTGGTGGCCCTCATGGGAGCCTGCTCAGCCGTGTTGCGGAAGCCGCGGGGGCCCTCGGCGCTGTCTTCGGCCGATCTAGGGCGGAAAAGGCGAACGCTCCAACAAACAATGGAAAACCTACGGACAACATTTTTTTGCCTCCTCGGGCCGCCTGGGGGGGTCCTCTGGGCAGGCTCTTGGGCCGTCTCGGGAGCCTCTTGGGCCGTCTTCGGGAGCTTGGGCCGTCTCGGGGCCTTCTCAAGGCCCTTTTCGGCCATCGTGGCGGTCTCCCATGGCTCTCTGGGCGCTCTCTTGGATCCTCCGTGGTCTCTGTGGGCCCCTCTTGGGGCCCTCTGGGGTCTTCTTGAAGCTCTTTCGGGCCGTCTTGGGGCCCTTGTGGGGGCCCCTTGGGCCGCCTTCGGGCGATCTTTGGGGCCTCTTGGGCCGTCTTGGGCCGTTCTTCACCCGAAAAGGCGAAAACCCTAACAACCTTTGAAAACCAACGGCACATCAATGTATGGTTCTGGAGAGCCTGTTGGCCCGTCTTGGAACCCTTTTGGACTTTCTTCGTCTTGAGGCCATCTTCGGCCATCTTCGGACGGTCGTAGGCGGCCTTAGGCTCTTGGAGCGCTCTCGGGCCGTTTTGGAACCGTCTGGGACCTCTCTAGGGCTGTCTTAGGGGTATCTGAGGCCGTCTTGGGCGCCTCTTGGGCCGTCTTGGTGTTACGCCGGCCTGGTCGCGCTTCCCCCCTCCCCTGGAACCCTTCCCAAAAGGGCTTCGCCTCACCAGAACGTCATCACTCGTACCTCGCTCTGTCCGTCACCTGGAGTGAATTGTTCCTGGGTGGGAACCTCACTCATGCCCTTTCCCATGTTTCCTCGCCCTCCTCGCCCAAGCAGCATGTTCAAATGACTCCCCCCGTCTTCAGGAGGTAATTGGGTGGGATGGTTTCTCTCGTCTTCTTATTGCGTCGCTCCAGGCGGTCATCCAATGATTCGTTTACCAGGCATTTGAATTGAGAGGGGGTGGGTGCAGATGTCAAGGCTGTCGAGGAGATGTGGCAATGATAAGGAGGCGTTGAGGGAGGCGAGGGAGATGAGATGTATAGGCGCAGCGATATGGGTCGGCTGCCGAGGAAGGATACCAGGGAACGGAGGCATCGAGAGTACGGGGTGCGTCGAGGGAGATATAGCTTGAGGTAGCAACAGGGAAGGACGATCGGGGCAGACGGAATGGAAGGGAAGTTGCAGCGCCTACCGTCACTCAGAGGAGAGATGGACGGCAGGCCAGAACACTGGGGCAATCATCGATATGTCCAGGTGTCTGCGGCACGTCCAGCCACTGTGTCAGCGCAGCACTTAGTGTGGCGACGCTCCGAGTACCGCCCAGTTGTCTCCATCTGTGTCTACTCGTTTGATGATTTCAAGCGTGGTACCTGGGCCATCTTTGGGCTGCCTGTGTCCTGTGGGATCTTGTTGGGTCATTCGCACGGACCCTTCCTTGCTATTGCACAGTGCATCCAGCTAAATTTCCTGCGGCATTGTAATTTGCTGGCGGTATGGCGGCAGTTCCACTGCCATGACGAAGACGCCGTGCAACGACGACAGCGACACAGTAAATAAAGACACTCGCAGGTTGTCGAACACAGCGCAGGGCGCCATGCGCTTACCCGTGGACTGCATCAGTACGTTTGGCACT